AACAAGGGGAGCAGACAGAACTGGCTGAAAATGAATTCAGTTGTTTTTCTTAAGTAGTGTAAAAATGGGAAGTGGTCACTGCAGCACAGAAGGCCTGGAGCATCACCAGTGCTCCCACACGCTGGGTGGCATGAGAAACCAGTGCTGCAGCCCAGGTGCACCTGAGCAGCCTTATCTCAGCAGCTCCCAGGCCCACTGGCCCATGGGGAGGCCAGGAGCGGGGGCCACGGCAGGGTGGGGTAGAAGAAGAGAAGGTTCTCTAGGACTTGGCTGGGACCCCCTCTCCAGTGTAGGAACAGGAAAAGGAAGGACCCGGGAGCCAAGTAGCATGAGGTTAATGCTCCCTTAACCCCAGGAGGCTCAGAGAGGTAGAGCCCTGACCACAGCCACACAGCTCCTCGTGGGCAGACCAGGGTGGGACCCCAGCAGCGTAGGGGGCACCATGCCAGGCAGGGATGCAGAGGCAGTGCAGGTGCTCAAGACAGGATGGGTGTCTGGGAAGGGCAGCAGGGGGGAGCCTGAGTTTGTTCTGGGCCCAACAGACAGGGCTGGGGCGGGAGGACCACAGAGGCAGCTGGTCCTGGTGCCACCAGGGAAGCCTGCTCTGGGTACAGCTGCTGCCCTTCCTGGGCAGCTCCTTGCAGAGCAGCAAGCTGCTGGTGTGCACATCAGGGGCACTGTGTCCGAGGCGCTGCCCAGCCTGGGGGCACATGGCGTGGGCCCCCAGATCCTTGGCGCAGCATTCAAAGCCTGCTCCTTATTTGAGGACGTGTGTCTAGGGCAGGAACAGCGTACCCCTACTCAAGCCTCTCCTGTGCCCTCCCCCATTCCCCAAAGCCATTCTCCCACCAGGGCGAGAGGCCCAGAGGAGCTACCTGGGTGTGCACCTGGCGCAGGTGGGCCAGGCCTGGTGGCGAGGCTGCCGGGTGGAGCTCAGCCCCTTCTCCACATAGTGGGACTAGCGCCCACAGGCAGTCTCCCAACATCCCCAGTGCCCCACCCCGACTCCACCTGCCCCCACCCCGGCCTACCTTCCTGACGATGACAGTGTTTCCCACCCTAGGAAATTAGAGAGATGAGTCCTGCCCCCCACAACTGCATCCGTGACACTTGGGTTGTTTGGATGTGATTTTGAGTGTGAAAGAACATTCTAGGGTTTCAAAGGTGGCCTGGGACTGTTCCCTGGAGTCTGTCTTACAGGGGAAGGCAGAGCCCTGCCCATAGAGGCCCCAGCTTAGGTGAACCCGACCTGCAGAGGGATGGAGTCCCATGGGGGTCCCAAGATGGGCGGAGGCTCGGCCCTCCAGGCAGGTTGGCTACAGCTCTGAGCCCCTGCATTGCAGGAGCAGGACAGGGTGCTGGCTGCGGCCATGGCTCTGTTTGGGGACTTGGTGGCAACAATGGCAGGCAAGGAGCTGCCTGGCTGTCACCATGGTCAGTGCCCACCCAGGGCCTTTGCCCTAGCAGAGCCGGGGGCTGCAGACACCAGGGGCTGCCCGAGCATGAGAGGCACGCCCTTGGGCAGCAGGTGTGGCCAATCCTGTGATGGTTTCTCTGCTCATGGTCTGCCTGCCCCTCCCCACAAATAAACAACCCCAGGCTCAAGGGCACCCCCAGGGTGTGCTGTCTATGCAGCCTGGCATGTGGTGGGGGCTCTGGTTGTGCACTGAACTTGTTAAAATATGGATTGAGCCCTACTTTGTGCCAGCCTGTGGCCTGTGCCAAGGCCAGTAAGACACAGCTGGGCCTTCCCGGGGCAGCCAGCTCTGAAATGAACAGAACTGCCCTCAGCTCGGCTTGGGCTGGCACTGCAGCAGACGGGCCCCCAGAGGCAGCTTTGAGGAGCAGAGCGGGAGGCAGGAGGGTCGCCAGCGGGAAGGGCATGGGGGCCCCATGAGCACCACAGGCTCCCTCAGACCCCCCCTGGAGCCTGTGATCCCGGGGCGACAGACCTCCAGCTCAGAGCCCCCAAGCAACACGTGACCCCTCCTGTGACCATCCCGTAGCAGCAGGCCACATTCACCTACCCAGCGCCACCCAGCTGTGCTGGTGGCTTTAGCACACCCTCTTCTGTGCGCTGGCCTGGGAGATGGGTCTCAGTGCCCGCCACTTCCTCTGGCACTGCCTGGTGAGGGACTGGGGAACGGGGGGACACTAGGGGTAGGCAGGGCCAGGGAGCTGGGGCCAGGCTTGTCCCTCCTGAGGGCTGGCAGGGTGGGGCCAGGGCTGGGGCTCTGGCCCATGGCCCCTGGGCCAAGCAAGTGACAGGCATACTGTCCCCTGCCAGATGACCCACAGCCAGGAGTTCAGCACCCACCTGGCGCAGGCCCTCAGCTACCTGCACAGCCACCACCACCACATCAAGACCTGGGCAGCGCTCTTCATAGGTGAGCGGGGCAGCTGGCCCTGGGACCCCCGGGCCTGCCCTGCCTGAGCGCCCTGCCCCTCACCTGGCCCACCCCCAGCACCTGCCACGCTACTGCAGCTGGAGCTCAGGGTCTGTTGGCAAAGAGAGGGAGGTGGTGGGCAAGGGGGCCTTGGGGCGGCAGGAGTGGGTCTGAGCCTCCAGAGAAGACAGGGAGACGCCCCGTGCACTGCCCAGCGTGTCTCTCCACCCCCAGGCTGTGTCCCAGGTGACGAATGAGGTCAACACCAACCTGCTGCTCTGTAGTGAGCAGCCCCAGCTCCGCCCCCCAGCCTGTCCTCACCTGCGTCTGAGAGACGGGGGCTCATACCTACTCCAGCTGAAGGCCGGAAGGAAGGCTGAGGGTGGGCTCCCAAAAGGGAGGGGATGGGAGTGGGCTGGGGAAGGAGGCACCCAGGCCTAAAGGCAGAGGTGGTGTCTGGGCGCTGTCCTGCCACCCCACCCCAGGCTAGAATGAGGACGCTGCTCCCAGAAAGTATGGCCAGGCACCCCCTGCCAGGGCAGGCTGTGGGCAGAGAGAGCCCAGGGCCCCTCCACTCCTGGAGCTTTTGAAGATCTCAAAGAGACCCAGAGCCTGGCATCCAGGAATTCACCACCAGGCAGGGTACCTTCCTCCAGGAAGTGGCAGCCAGACCACAGTGACCGACAGCTGCCCTCCTCCCCCGCCACCCGAGTCCATGGTGTCCCCATCCATCAGCCCTGCCCTGTCCACACACAGCTTGGTTGCATAATATTTTTCCATTTTAAAGAAAGATCTAGATTCAACAAAGAACCGTCATACCTATCAGCTCCCCGTCCACCAACTCGTGGTCCCCCAGGGACGGAGGCAAGCCCAGGAGACACTGGCAGGGCTAGAGGGCAGGGCCAGCCCGCGGTGTGGGGGCCGTGGAGCCTGTGAAGCCCCCAGTGGTGGAGGTCAGGTGGACTCTACCTGGCCAGAGCCCAAACCGTGGCCTGCTGGACCTGAGAGGGCAGTCCGAGCCCCTGGGCTCAAGGTGAGGTGGAGTCCTTCACCGAGGCACCCCTACGGTCTTCAGTTTGTCCCTGGCTTGGGGCTTCACAGTCACTGGGGGGCAGACAGTGAGCAAGGGGTCCCTTGGCTGGCCTCCCTCAGCCCGGGGGACTGTCTTTCCCTCCACCCCCACCTCCACCCTCCTGAGGTCCAGTCAGAGCTGGCACCTGGGCTGGCAGCAGAACCAGCCTGGGCCTGGAGTCGGTCCTTGCAATGGGGCCCGGCTCACCCAGGATGAGCTATTGGCCTGAGGCCCGGGTCTCAGCCTTCTGAGCCTCAGCTGTGTCTGTAAAATGGAAAGTAAGGCCTTTTTCCCAAGATCCCAGAGGGGTCCTCCTGGAGACCCGCGTGACCCTCAGCCAATTCTAGGAGACCTGCACACAGAAGTACATGAGCACAGTGATCCGTCCCCACAGGCAGGCCCCAGGCCACACCTGCCCTCACGCCCAGACCCATGCACCCCCAGGCACCCTGGGCTCACCCTCCACCTCCTCCCTGCCCTCGGAGTCAGCAGGAGGGGCTTTAGGGTCAGCCCCAGACAGCAGCCTCCCTCAGCCCCACCCGCCCTCCCGAGGCCACCTGTCCACCTCACCCAGCCCCACACCCTACTGTTCACACATGTAGTCACAGAGTCCTGTTTTATTGCCTTCGAGTGTCCAGAACATCTGACCGCCCCCAGACCCAATAATTTAAGGTGCTGAGAATAGGTCAGGACAAGGGGCCACAGAGGAGGGCTAGGGCCCAGTGGTTAAAAAACAGACCTGCCCCTGGCTTTGAACAAATGGGCCAGAAAAGAGCTGCCCTAGGGGCATGTGTGGAGGGTGCTGGCAGGAGTGCCAGGGACTGGGAGGTTGGGGGACAAAAAGAGCCTCAGAGAGGCAAATCTGAGGGCACAGAGACAGAGACACAGACTGAAATAAACAGCTCACAGAGACACGCCGGACACAGAGCTAGAGAGAGACGCAAGCGCACAGAGACCCAGGGAGACTCAGAGATGGAGAGAGACACCCATCCAGAGACTGGCGGAAAGCAAACGGCATGGGGCAAGCTGGACCGCCTGGACGCAGGTGCCCTGAGGTATCAGGCAGGAAAGGTGAGCTGGAGGCAGCCAAGGCCCAGAGCCCTGGCAGGCAGGGCGAGGGGGTCCTGCCTGCAGCCCGGCGGGCCCCAGGCCTGGGCCCCTGAGCTACATGACACAGCATTTGGCCTTGTGTGTGTGCGGGTCTTTGAACCGCAGTCTCTGTTTAGGTCGGTATTTCTCCAGGTAGGTGAGCTGCCTGCTGTTGATGGCTCCTCGCCGCTTCCTAGGAGATGGGATGGGGTGCGATCAGACAGGACCTGGCCTCAGCCACCTGCCCTGGCCCAGGAAGTTCAAGGCCCAAGTCCAGGGGATCTGGAGCAGGTCCTTGTGGTCAGCAGAGCTCATCCTATGTCCACACCTTCCCACTGCTAGACTTGCCCTTCCCTGGTCACCTGCTGTCATCCCTGCTGGCCTTCAGCTCACCTGGCTATCACCTCCTCCAAGCTGACTCCCTGATCTCCTGGTTCAGTTCCCACCCTCCCAAGGCCCCCACGCCCAGGCCATGGGCTCCTAGAGGCCTGGGACAGAAAGCAGGAGGCAGTAAAGGTGGGGGAACTCAGAGTTGGAGTGTGGGGCCTGGGCTACCCACCCAGCACTTCTGAGGTCATCCGTGCCCACCCGTGACCTCAGAAATGGCCATGGACTTGCTCTGGTAAATGAAAATGTTAGTGGAAGACCAACGTGTCTGCCAGACCAAGCTTCAAGAGCCACTGCGTGTCCACATCACTCTTACCCTCCAGCACCAAGACTGGAGTTGGGACTGCCCCCACTAAGGGTGCCCCAAGGTCCCTGAGAGCCCCAGCTAACCACACCAGAGAGGTCACAGGAGGGACGGACAAGAGGCATTGTTCTGAGTCAACTGGCTTGGGCCTGCTCATTACTGCAGCAGGGCCAGTCCGTCCTGATTCAAGCAGCCTCGGGCTCAGGCAAACACAGGCCTTGGAGGCGGGACCCACCAGGCTTCCCTGGGAGCAGGCCACACACAGGGACTAGTCCTCACCTGGGACCCGGGGCGGGGCAGGGGAGGGTGTTGGTACCACAACATAGGCTGCATGGGACTTGGGGACACCTCAGAGGACATCCTGGGACCAGGGCTCAGGAGCACCCACAGGCAGGGCGCTGGGCCCCTGCAGGGCAGGGCATGCAGGGTGAGAGGGCCTTCAACCTGGACCCCCAGCCCTCCCCAGCTGCCCTCCTGCCCTGGCTGGCCACTCACTGCCGGATGAACTGGATGGCGTCCTCGTACTTCATCCCGCTCTCGATGAGGGCCAGGGCCACGAGGACGGGAGCCCTGCAGGCAGACGGCAGAGCAGGTCGTCTAAGCCTCTGTGTCCCGCCCCTGCCCCTGACAGGCCTCCTGACTGAGGGCTGCCCAGACTCCCTCCGGCGCCCTTCCCTCCCCTGGAGCTCAACCCGACCGCCCAGCTCCAAATCCCGCTCCCTCCCATCCCTGTGTGACCTCAGGTGGGCCAAGCAACCTTCCTGGGCTTCGGGTTCCTTGTGTGCACAACATGTGGTGGGAGGGTTAAAGGCGGGAGAACAAAGTTCCAGGCCTGAATCTGGGGGGCTAAAAGCTTGAAGCTCAGCCACCAGCCCCACTCACTGTCTCTGCTCTGCAAATGGGATTCCACCCCAGATGGGTTCAGTCAAACCCAGGCTGCTGGGTGGGACAGGGTCTCTGTGTCTGGGAAGGGGTGGTGCTGGCACCCCTTCCTGCTCAGTGCGGGACACAGTAAGACCACAGAGGAGGGAGGGGGACAGACCTGCAGATTGTAAGGCCGCCCCTGCCTGCGTCAGGGAGCACTCTGGCCAGCAGGCCACGGGTAGTGTGGGCTCAGCAACCACATCATGGGAACGTCAGACCACGAGATTCCCAAGTTCCAGTGAGCCTGCCTCGCCCCCTCCCCCGGCTCACCGTCCCAGGCCAGCCACGCAGTGCACGGCCACACAGCTGCCAGGGTCATCACAGAACTTGGCCTTCAGCAGGCTCAGCCAGTCCTCCACCACCTTGCCAGGCGGGGGTGCCCCATCGTCAAATGGCCAGTCCTGCAGAGGGGGAAAGCAGGTGAGGCCCCAGAACTGACCCCAGGGTGAAGCGGACAGGCAGGGCCCTGGTGACTGCCCATGGGCTTGGGCACTCCCAGAGTGCAGAGGATGCCGGGAACACCCAGGGTGAGGGGCAGCAGCCCCAGAGGGCAGAGAGTTGGCCAGGTATGCAGGAGGGACAGCTCCTCATCCTCTCCTACTCAATCCAGCTGCCCCCTCCTCCAGGAAGCCTTCTCGGAACAGTCTGTCCTTTTTTTTCAGAAGTCCCTACTCTCTTTCCCTGCGAGCCCATGCTGCAATTCAGGGGTCATGGGGTGACCCTTACCCACTCTGAGAACTTCTGGGTCAGCAGGCCCAAGATTCTGGTCCATGAACATGGCTGACACATGCCCTCCATGTCCCCAGTCCCTAGCATGGCCCCACAGAGCAGGCCTGGCCCAGTAACCAGGAAAGAGTAAGGAAAGGGCTGACAGCTGAGCAGGATTCCAGTTACAGCTGGGACCCTTCCAGATGTTCTGGCTGGGGGACTTGGTTTTGAGAAAGTTAGCTGCACTGCCTGGAAGAGGTGGAGCAAGCCTGTGTGGAGAGGGCCCTGCCGGGGCACCACACAGAAGATGGAGCCATGCCAGCCCCCGACGGCAGATTCATGACCCGAATCGGCACCTGGGGTGAATGCCTGTGGGCCCACCTAGGCTCAGCAGGCAGGCCTGGGTCATCTAATCCTGCCCCAGCCTCCAGACAGGGCAACACCTGGACGAAACTGGTATTCTGACTGCCTGAAATCTAGGCCAACTCTCCCTCCCGCAGCAGCGAGGGGAGGCAGGGCCCCGGCTCCCCATGCTGAGGGGTGCTCCACACCTTTTTTCTCTCGAGCCCTTTCAAGCACCCATACTTCACAGGTGAAGGACTGGGGAGTCACATAGCTAGGAAGGGGCAGAGGCCAAAGGCCAGATTCCGGCCAGCCAGCCTGACCCCAAAGCTTCAGCTCCTTGCACCACCCCAAACCGCAGAGCAGAGGTTACTAAGCACAGGAGCACCTAACAAAACTGGGGTCCTTGCTGCAAGTAGTGATGAAGGTGAAGGGGTGCTCTGGTGCTCAGGAGGCTGAGGACCAAGGGGTAGAGCCCGGGTGGATCTGGGCTGCCCCCACCCCACTGCTCCATGCCTGCAACCAGAGTCAGGGCAGCTCTGCACCAGGGGTGGCCCTGTGAACCCTCCACCTGGACGCCGGTCCCCGGGGCAGGGTTCCAAGGAGACAGCCCCAGGGCCCCTCCCCACAGCCTCCACAGAGAGCCTCCTCCGGGGCCTGTCAGGTGTGCCCTCCCAACCTCCCAGGGGCACCTGCTGCCCAACAACAGGGCCCCAAACACCAGGCAGCGAGACCGAGACGAGGCCCCTGAGGCAGCCCGGGCAGGCTGCTGGGGTCCAGGCCCTGCCCACACTCGCTTGGGGCCCACCTGCACAGTGGGGCCGAGCTCCCAGCCAGGCAGGGCTGTTGGGGTCAGAGCCCCAGCCACCCGGTGGGGGTGGAGGGCATTGTTATTAAAGAGCCACTCCCCAGGCGGCCCCAGCTCTGAAGCTGGCTGTTCAGACCCAAGCCTCAGTTTCCCACGATAGAGCCCCACATGGGGCTGTCGTGAGGCCGAGAAGTGGTGGTGCCCCGCAGCGCCTGCCAACCCCAGCATGTGAGAGAGCCCGATTGCGGGAGCTGCGGCCCTGCCTAGAGCGCAGACTGCCCCCTCCCAGGCCAGGCTGGCAGGGCCAGGCATTGCCCACTCTAGAGATGTGCCCGAACACGGCGTGGCCCAGGCACAAACATGCCGGGGGCGGCAGGGAGCACACCGGGAGGCCACATATGCTGCCTCACAGCCAGGGGACTCCAAACTCGCTGCCCAGACCCAGAGGGACCCCCCCACCCCCACGGCAGCAGCCGCCATGATAGCCACAGCCCTCACCACCACAGTGATGCCGTCCTTCTCCAGAGGGGCCTTATCGTAGGTCACTTCACACACGCGCACCACGGTGGTGGCGCCATACTTCTTCAGGTCCTGGCAGGGAAGGAGGAGGCTGGCTGGGGCTCCACGGCTCAGCAGTGGAGACCCGTTGACCAGGGCCCCCAGGGTTGGGCTGTGCTCCCCCACAACAGGACAGAAAGGCTGCCAAGCAGGAACCACCAGTGGTGGACTTCCAGAACCAATGACTTACTAGGGGTAGAAGAGTCTTTCCTGATGCTCCAGGGGCAGCTGTCCCTGGCCCACCCAGCAGAGAGGAGGCCCACCTCTTCTCACTGTGACAGCAGCTAGACAGCCAGGAGTCCAACGCATTACCTCCCTCCTCTTAGGTGCTCAGGACCCCAGACTGCACCAGATTTCCCAGACAAAGCTCCTGGGTCCAGAAGCAGGGACAAGCACCACCACCCACATGTGGGCCCCTGCACAGACCCCATTGCAAACAGCCCTCCTGGCCAGGGCTGCATGGGCTGGCCCAGCCGAGGGGCACAGCCAGAACCTACCCCGGGGCCTTTGGAGTCTTGAGGGGCAGCCCTCAGTAGGCAGGGTAACCCCAAAGCAGGGAAGGAGGATGCCTGCTCAGATGGCAGCCCAGAGAGAGCCAGGCCCTAAAAGTGGAAGCTCCGGCTACCAGGGAAAAGGTCAAGGCAGTTCACGGCCAGGCTCAGGGACATTTACAATATGTGGGGGTCCACACCACATGAGCCATATCTCGGGGCTACTCCCATACCACCCGTTCCCAGCAACTAGTTTGGGAGCACCGAGGAATCAGCACTGGACGTTGCTCATCATGGGATGGGAACACTGGACACAGTGAGGGCAGGACAGCTATTCTGAGAAGGCCAGGAGCAGCAGGGGGTGCCCCAGAATCTCTCTGTGCATGTAGCAGAGGATGCTGCCATCCAGCCCGGGGCTGAGCCCTGAGCCTCATCAAGACCTTGGTCGCACCCTGACCCTGGACCCTGTTCACACCCTGAGCCCTGACCCTAGTCCACACCTGAGCCCAGACCCTGGTCAAGGGCTAAGTGCTTTGCTCAGTCTTTCCCCAGGTCCTGCTATTATCTCACAGGTCTCAGCTGTGAAGGGGGCAGCACTCCTCTGTAGCGTCCCTGGCTCAGTGTCCAGTGTCCAGGGCCAGGCCCCTGATGGCAGGGTGCTCACTGTTTTTGAGGTACTCTCGCACTCAGGACCCTGTGTGATTAGGATAACCCAGAGAGGCTTATCTCATGTTGCAGAGGGAACAGCTGAGGGTCTGAGGCCACAAACACCCCTACACACAGTTGCATGCTCTGCAAATGTCCCTACACAGCCACAGGCTCTGCAAACACTCCCATACACAAGCACAGACTCTGCAAACAGCACTTCAAACAACCCAAGGCCCTTCAAACACCCCCTACACAGCCACAGGCTCTGCAAACAGACCTATGCATAGCCACAGCCTCTGCAAACGCTCCCATACACAAGCACAGACTCTGCAAACAGGACTTCAAACAACCCAAGGCTCTGCAAACACCCCTACACGGCCACAGGCTCTGGAAACAGCCCTACACACCATCACAGGCTCTGCAGACACCCCTACACACACAATTTCAAGCTGTACAAACAGCCAGGAGCTCTGTAGAGGCCAGGCTCCTACAGGAGACCATGCAGAGATTCGTAGGCTCTGCAAACACATCTGGTCACATCTGCTGGGGCTGTGGGCAGCAGGCACTTCTGCCCGCTGGCTTTCTAGGGTACAGTAGTCACTCCCTCCTGTGGCCAGCTTGGATTCTTGCCCAGCAACTCTTCATCAGAGGTCTGTGCCCTACGACCCCCAGCCCTACCTGTTCAAACCCAAGACCTCCCTGAGAGCCATGGGTTCCCTGTGGCCTATGTTGCCATGGAGTCGATCACTGTGCCCCATCCTCCATCTGCCCGTCTCTAGGCTGCTTAAGCAGCCACTCCTCACACAGGGACCTCTCCCTCTTCCTTCCTGCTCAGCCTCTGCATGAGGCCAAACAGCTTCAAAGGGCTCAGGACTTTCCTGCCACAGGCAAAGCCCCAAGGAGGCCCTGCCCCCAGGAAGCGACACCCACTTTCCTCCTACCTCTGGGCTTGCCTAATTGGTGCCGTGTGGAGTCCCACCGGTCCTGACTCTGGCCCCTCTGCAGGCCCGCAGGGAACCCCGCTGATCCCCCACCGTTCCTCACACCCACACTCCCCAGGCCGCTCTCGTGTCCCGCTTGGGGATACTGTAACCCGGGCGACAGGTCTGCTCCCAAGCGCAGTCCTTGGGTGCAGCTATAAGCCCCACCCTGTTGCTCCCGGGACACCACGCCCGGTCCCACTCACCTCGATGAAGGTGCTCAGGGTGGCATTGGTGGGGTTGTGGGTGATGAGGAAACGCATGTTCTTGTAGCTCACCTCCACAGGGGCGGGCCGGTTCATGCGCGCCATGGTCCTCCCTGAGACGGGGCGGGGCCCAGGAAGGCGCTGCAGAGCGGCTGGGGCCCCGCTGGGCCCGGCGGGAGAAGCCTCCACCGGCCCCAAACCCGAGGAGAACGAGACCCCTGTGCTTGTCCAAGAGAGAGAAGCTTTTAAAAAACCTGCCCCCAACACCCCGCACAAATATTGTGCAAATACTTGGTGGGGACACGCTGCCGGATGCCCGGAGGATTAAAAAACAATCCGACTCTAAAAAAGAGCAACAAGGAGCCCCGGCTGTAAAGCAAGCCGGTCCCAGCCCCTACCTCTCAAAGCTGGATCAGTACAAGAGGGCAAAAATCAAAATGATGACAACCAAAAAGAACGCGGAGAAAGCGTTAACAAGCCCGAAGTGAATCTGGCCACCGTGGCTGGGTCCGGAGCTCGGACACCCTCCCCGCATCCGTGGGCAGGGGAACGGCCCCCTTCACTCAAAGGCAGGCCCCAAGCCCCCAAGATCAGAGGAAAACGCACTTGAACTGAACCCACAGGGCAGCCTTGGGGTGGGGTCAGAAGCAGCAGCCTTGGTGGTGGGTGGCTCTGACTCACAGGGCCTCTGTCACGTTACCCCATTGGGGTATGGCGAGTCCTGGAAGGGGGCAGGGGGCTCAGGCGGCAGAGGCGGCCCCGGGCCGGGCAGCGGAGGCCATCGGCGGGCGAGGGCAATGGTGAGGGCCAGAGGCACCAGGGCCTCTTCAGCAGCAGGCACGGCAGCGATGTTGGGCACGGCAGTATTCAGAGCTGCCCCCCGCGGCCCTGTCCATAAATCCCAGGCTGGTCAGCAGCACGCAAGGTCTGGGAGAGGAGAGAAAAGGCAATGTTCAGAAAAGGGTCACCAAGCACCTTGTCTCCGTGGGGGTGGATGCTTGCCCAGGGCTCTGCTGAGGGACCCAGCTCCATGGGCCTCAAGTTCCCCACCTGGGAACGCAGGGAAGGACAGCTCCTGCCAGGGCTGACCCAGGGCCCCAAGGCGACAGGACTGCCACCAGGATGGAGTGGAGACATCAGGAGGGATCTCAGGGACACACCTGAGGAGCTTGCTGGTCCCCAATGTGCAGACTTCTAGGCAGTCTGTGGCAACAGAGGCCTGGCTCCCGAGCCTGGCCCCCTGTCCACCGCCTGTGATCAGCAGGCACCCCACCCTCAGGACAGTCACACACAGCTCTGTGGAATTCTGGCCTCTCTGGAATTCCTGAGCCCAGGTCATTCTGGGGTGGCCAGTCCTCAGGGAAAGGGGCTCAGGCAGATGCCAGGGTACCTTGGCTAAGGGGGCAGCAGCCCCACTCACAGCCTAAGTCCCCTTAGACAGCTCTCAAGGGCTCCATTTGCCCACGGGGCTGGCTGGCACAGGAGGGAAACAAGCCGGGCTCTGCCCCCAGCAGGTGGAAGAAGCAGGGACTGACCACAGTGACCAAGGCCAGGCCAGGCACATCCAAGGTGGTGACAGCACAGGTGGCCAGGAGCGGAGTCACACTGTGACCAGGCCCCGGGGAAGCACAGCCACCAAGCGCCCTCCACACCTGGCTCTCCCTATCTGGCCCCCAAAGTTCTGGGGCCACGGGCCCCAGCAGTAGCACCCAGCCCTACTCCCACCCCATCTGCCAGAATGGGCTGGGGGACCTTGGGTATGTCACTGGCCTGTTTCCTCATCTGCACAATGAGGGCCCAAACAAGATACCCCCAAGTTCCCTCCAACTGTGACCCAGTGTTCAGCAGACCCTCCAGCCACTGCGCTCGGCCCCAGCCCCTCACCAGCACGCCTATCTGCTCACCCAGCACGGTCCTCCATCCCCCAACCCACAACCTCTTACCTTTGCCCCCCCAGTCCCCCTTCTCCGCCCTCCAGGCAGACTGGGTCCCTGGAGCCTCAGCCTGGATGCAAGAACGGCCCAGAGCTAGGGACCCCAGACGCGAGGGCTGAGCTCTGCCTCTGCTCCCAGCTTAGGGCAGGTGCCACATCTCACACTTTGCCCTTTGCAGTGGTCCTGGGAGGGCTAAGTGGGGGCTCCCCAGGAGGGGAAAAAGGCAGAGACGGAATCCTGTCCGCTTCAGCTGGCCCCCAGCCTGCACGGTCCCAGAGCGAGCTTCATGCAGCTCAGAGTGCAGGCAAGGGAAGGCATGGCTGTGGATACCCTGAACAGCACACAAACACGGAGCCTCCTGATGCAGCAAGGTGTTTCCATGTGCGTGCGGGCGTGTGTGTGCGCGTGCGTGTACCAGAAAGGAGAAAGAAGGCCCAAGGAACCCATTATAAGTATAGGCCTTTCCCCAAGGGGCTGATGTGCCACCCCACAGCCCGTAGCTCCTGGGCACCTGGGGAGACCCTGTGGGCAAGGGCTCTGCTGCCCAGCACCCCTGTGTGGGGAGGGGCCATGAGCACCCCATGCTGATGCTCACTTGAGCCTGTAGATGTCACCTGTCAGCACTGGATGGGGGCAGCAGGCACAGCCCAGGATAGGACAAGGGAAGGGTTCTGGGCCAAGGTTGGACCAAGGTCACTGCCCAGCTAGGTGGGGGTCTTGCCACACAGCCCACCTGTCTCCACAGACTCTGGGACCCCACCACCAGGTGGGAGCAAGCAGTTCCTGCCTCAGGTACCCACATGGCTCAATCAGGCCTTGCAGCCACCCCCAGCAGGCTCTCCCTCCTAACCACACCCCCTCAGTGTCCCTGAGCAGGACCCCCAGATAGAGCCATCCAAGTCCTCCGGCCACCACCCCCCAAGACACAGGAGCCCTACTGGGAGCCCAGTGCTGCCCTTCCGGCTTTCCCAGCCCTGGCCCCACATTCTCCCTCCCGGGAGCGTCCTCCATTCAAGTACGGGGAGACCAGAGCAAGAGCAGCCCGAGATCGGGGAGGCTCCAGCCCTCAAGCGCGGTCACAGCGGGCTAACGATCTTGCCAAGTGTGAGTCCGGCGGGGTCAGAGAGCGCCAGCCCCGCTGGGTCCGACCCCCGGAGGACTAGGGCCAAGAGGGGTCCCCGGAGAAGTAAAGCAGGGTGTGAACGCACCGTGCGCAGGGCTGGGGCCGGGCGGGCTTGGGTGGGGCGGAGGGTGGGGGCCACCACCTGCCGCGGTGTGCGCGCCGCGCGGCACCTAGCGGCTGCCTCCGAGGGGCGCGGCCCCCTCCCCGGGGCGGGGCTCGGGGTCCTCCCGGCGCGCCCCCGCCCGCCCCTGCGCCCGCCGGCTCACCCGCGCGCGCCGCCGCCGCCTCCATCGGTGCGGGGCCGGGCCGGGCCGGACCGGCGAGGGCGCAGCGGCCGACAGCCAGAGCCGGGGCGCGGGGCGCGGCGGCCTCCCGCGGATGCTCCGACGCGGCCGCCGGGGCTATTTATGACGCCCAGGCGTCACGAGGGCGGGGCGGCCGGCGACCGGCGGGCGGCCGGGCTTGTTGTGGCTGCCACACCTGCTGCCTAAATATAACCGTGGGCCGCCCGGGCGCTCGGGCAAACAAAGGGGCCGCCGAGGGCCGCGCCGGGGGAGGAAGCGCCGCGGAGGAAGGGGAAATGCAGGAGCAGAGCGGAGGACCGCCGACCACCGCGGGCGGGGGGCCCTGCCGCCGATGCACCCGCCTTCCTCCCGTGCGCCCGGAGCAGGTGCCCCGCACCCGGGTGCGCGCCCTCCCTACAGCCCTCTGGGCCACCCGTGGCCGCGTCTGGCAGGCAGGATTCCCCGAGCAGAGGGCTGCGCAGGGCGCCGTGCTGGAGAGCCAGGAGGTCAGCACGAGGGCTGGGCCTGGTGGGAGAGCTCCCGGTGTGAAAATGGGAAGGAGGGCAGTGCCCGTCGCCCAGGGGCGTTAAGGAAGCTGACACCACAGGATGAGGCCAGCCACCTCCTCTGGCCCCGAAGTCCGCGCGCTCAGACCCCTGACCAGTTCTCCAGCCTCGTGCCTAATGCCTGTGCAGCGCCTGCGCACCTACCGTGTGCCAGTCACTGCTGTGCCTCCCTGAATGCTCTCCGCTGCGCTGAGGGGGGTTTGCTGTGTGCTGGTGAGGAACCGGAGGCGCTGGGACTAGGTGTCCACGGGGGTCACATAGGACAGTGGGCGTCCCCCAGGTTGCTGCTCCACAGCCCACTCACTCTCCTGCTCAGTGCAGACACCCTCCCCACCGTGAGGCCCTCTGAGACTCCCAGGTGAGACCCCCCTGGGCAGAGTCCCGGCTTTGCCTCAGGGGAGCACCGTGTGAGGAATGCAAGACTCCCCAGAACTCAGGGCCCCAGTAGAGCGGGCACCACAGTAACTCTACCTGCCTAGCCAGCCTGGAGACCTCAGAAGAGGGTGGAGCAGAGTGGATAGAGCCCCAGCACACAGGGTCCCCAGAGGCCTTGCCTTGCTGGGAACCGGGCTCTGAGCCCAGCTCCCAGACAGGCAGCCTGGCCCCTGCAATCAGCAGCCAGCACCGCAGGGACGGAAAGGGCGGAGCTGGCCGGGGGCCCAGCTGAGAACGCGGCACCCTCCCAGGCCTCCCTGCACACACCCAGAAGTGTCAGCAATGCCTGTGAACCTCACTTCCTCCTCACCCCCAAGCTGGGCGAGCAGGCAGCGGAGGTGAGGATGGGTGACCATGTACATGGCCAAAGGCCCTCAGGCAACCCACCCACAGGTACGCCCCCAACCAAGCGAGGTGGCCTGCTCCCCAGCTCAGGCGCCCTCAGCTGAGCTCTCAAGCAAGGGCTCCTGCCCTGCACCAAGGTGGGCCTCAGACCGACTCCCAGTCCAGTGTTCTCAGCTCCCCACTTCGCAGCGTCTTCCTGAAGGCCAGCTCTCCCACCGGTCTGCCATCTGGACTGCTTTCTGAGGGTCTGCCCCTCGGACCCCATGCCAGACACTGCATCCTATGAACAAGACACATCAACCCCACTGTATTGATAAAAGACGGCAACTGAGAGGTCGAGCAGTTTGCCCAAGTCACACAGCTAGGAAGCAGAGCCACAGCTGGGGGCAAGCTTTGCTGACCCCCAGACCCTACCCCTCCCAACCCTGGCCTCTGGGACAGGGTGCTTCCAACACCCAGCCTGTGTCCTCATCCATATAAGGGGAAAGGCCCCATCAAGGTCTGTGACACTGCACCCAGGACTCAGAGCCCTGCTCCAGCTACAAACCTGGGTGTCAGCATCCCCGTCCCACCTCACGTGGGGCACTGGCTCTGGCCAGGCCTAGGGGGCACTTGCTGCAGCTGGCACTGCCCCAAGCCCTTCAGAGAAGTCTATTTTTATCAGGGCAGGAGCCATTCCTGGAATCCTCCCAGAGTGAGCCCAAGTCCACACGCCACCAGGGGGCCGGGAGGGGAGACCAGAGTGGGCCAAGCCCACCCTGATCCCCAGGAAAGCTTCCCAGAGCCCTCCTGCCCCCATGGCCAGCAGCACCAAGGGGCTTGCCCCCTCACCAACCAAGTACCGCTGCCACCCTTCCTCCCACCCTGTCCTGTCCCCTCTCCATTCAGCCACATGCCCTTCATCAGAGAAGAGAGGGTCCCAGCCCCAAGGAAGGTGTGTCCCAAAGGAGGGACTCGTAGGTTGTCAGTTCCTCCCTCCCTCCCCCACAGGGCCTGGCACCAGGAGGGCTCCCCACTTGTCTGGGGAAGGAACAAATGACCCAGCATCCTGGGAAGGAGACCAGATCTGGGCAATGTCCAGAACTCATCATGAGATCTCAGGCCCTGAGGCCCAGAGGAACCTCAAAGGTCACCTACACCATCTTTTCCCCAGTTTGCATGCTTCCAGTGATGGTGAGTTCACTACTCCTTGGTAGCACCTTCTGCCTTCAAGCAGCTCCCTGAGTTATCAGTCCCTCCTTCAAGTCACTCCTAAGTGGCCACAGCTGGGATACAGACCCACAGGAGGAAAGCTTCCAAGCAGAATAAGCCAGCACAGTGGGCATCGCCAAAGGCAGAGGTGCAAGATCAAGTAATCATGGAAGGCTTCCTGAAGGAGCTAGCCAGCAGAGAAGATGACATGCTCCTGATGTCTGGATATCAGAGCTTGACTGGCTGCCCTGACTCTGTGTGATCTGGGGCCAGAATTTGCCCTCTCTGGGGCCCATGGCCTCTATAAATGGAGACACTGCCAGGGAGGAAAGCCACTTTCCATGCTGGTGCCAGCTCCAGGCTGGTCACAGGGTGCCCAGGCTGTGGCCGGGAAGCAGAGCTGTTGGGAGCAGGCCTCGGTTTCCACCCAGGCAGGCACTTGTCCCCACCAGGATCTTGAGAGAGAGAGGACACCTGCAAAGACCGTCCCCAGAGCTCAGCCACTGCCCCTCGGGCACCACACAGAGCCACCTCATCAGACACATGGCTTTAACGGTGACCCGTGGGGCATGGCACCAACTTGCCAACCCAAGTGGCCACCCCCAGAGGCCACCGCTGTGTGCTGTCAGCCGCCAGCACTGCCTGGGCAGCCACGGCCACACCACAGCCCTGGAGCTGGAACTGCCGCCTCCGAGGGCAGGCCGGTGGGCACCAGCCTGAGCATGAGGGAGGCCTCTGGGCACCGCCCAGGCTGTCATCCCTGGTGGACACATACACGCAGCCAGGCAGCCAGCCAGGTGAGCCAGTCGAAGCATCGTGGTCCTCCGGAGCCCTGTGGCCAGCGGGAGGCTGCTCGGCTCATGCCGAGTCCCCCGGCCTTGACAGCACCCACCCAGCAGGCTCCGGGAGGACCACCAGGTGACAGGTGCCTACTGCCACCCCACGGACTGCTGGGATCCCAGTGCCGGCTTGGGCCGGACCCCCACAGCCTGGCTCCCATGCCCCTGGCCCTACCCACCTGGCCTTGCCCTGCAGGGCCTGGACCTGCCCCTGAAAGGACTCAGGAAACAGGGCAGGAGGAAGGGAGAGAGAACGGACGAGAGTGGGAACCAGGCCCACTCCTGCCCACTGAAGCACAAAGGTCGGGGCCAGGCTTTGGGCTCACAGACCTGAGGTCAACCCCAACCCTGCCTGTGCCCACCCTCAGGGCCCTGGTGCCTCTGAAAGGTACAGTGAGCTCTGCATTCCTGGGATGTGGAGGGGAAGAAGGATGGGGGACACTGACAGCTGGAAAACAGGGCCTGCAGCCGCCAGGTGAGGAAACCGAAGTGTGGCAGGGGAAGGGGGCCACCACGTGCACCCCTGCAGGCACCCCTTCTGCCACACTACCAGCCCACCCAGCAGCCAAGTGGTAGGGCATGCGCTCTGCCTGGGGGCCGGAGACAGCCAGCCTCCCTCCGGTCCCCCTCCCTGCACCCCAGCCCCCTGAGAAGTCCTGCCTGCCAGGAGCTCACAGCTGGGGCCGGAGTGGGGAGAAGTCCATGGCGGGCAAGGTGGGGCCACTGCTGGCCAGGAACCTTGTTATGTCACATGATGCTTCAGTGGCCACAGCTCATCCAGGTGCCCAGCATGTAGGGGGCTGCACCCCTGGGGCCGCCACCTCTGCTGGAAGCCCCCCATTAACTCACCACTGACCAGCGCCCCCACCCTCCACAGCGGCCCTGCCTCCCCATTTTGAGCCCTGACTTTGAGCCCATTCTGCCACCTGTGTCTCTGCAGCCTTCCCTACTCCCAGCCCAGGCCTCGGGGCTTTCACCAAGAGGTCAAGGGGAACAGGTGCTGGTCATTCATTCGTCCACTTTACAAATACCCACTGAGCACCTTCCAGTGCCAGGTGCTGGGCTATGCTTGGGCACATGGGAAAAGTCCCCAGAACAGGCAAAAATCCTGCCCCACTCTGCCCTGCCCTCCCAGACGGGGCTGCCAGCCACCCCTCCACACCCTGCCCTGAGAAACCACCTCCCAGACTGCCCACCATGGGTGGGCTGGGTAATTACCATATCAAGGCAGCCCCCCACCTCCCCATGCAGGCAGCACCACCAAGTCAGGGGTCCTCTCATCCCTTGCAGAGATCTCACTGCATTGCCTGCCTCAGTTTCTTGGGCTGTCATGTACAGGGCTCGAATGTGGCATTTCCCCAGAGCCACCATCTCTGGGCTGCCTGGGTCACACCTGGGACACCGCCCATGGCTGGCAGACTAGGGTTCCAGAGCCGTCAACCTGCACCAGCCTGGCCTTGCGTTTCCTGGCTCCTGCTTGGGGAGCATCACCCCTCGGCCCCCGAGAGCTGCCCACCATCTCTGGGCTGCCTGGGTCACACCTGGGACACCGCCCATGGCTGGCAGACTAGGGTTCCAGAGCCGTCAACCTGCACCAGCCTGGCCTTGCGTTTCCTGGCTCCTGCTTGGGGAGCATCACCCCTCGGCCCCCGAGAGCTGCCCCCACAGGCACGGCCTCCATGGGGCCCTCCCGCCTGCAGGCCTTTGACCATGCAGTGCCTGCCACCAGAACTGCCCCCTGTCCCCACTGCAGCCCACCTCCTCAGCTCAGATGCCATCTCCTCAACCACTTTACTGACTGGGTAACCTCAGCGGTCACACTCCATGCCTGTTTCTTCATCTGCAAAGAAGGATGACGACGTAGCTGCCTCACAGGGCTGTTGCCAGAATTGATGACTTCAGTCATGAAAAGCACTTACACCAGGGCCTGGCGCTGTGGGCACGGCCTGGGGGAACCTCACACCTAAGCGTGCACAGCACGCCTCCCTCGCATCCTCTTGTCCCCTCGTAGGTCTGCGGGGACGGCGCAGCTCTCTGAGCCTCACCTCTCCATGTTGCTCTGCCCCTTCTACCCCGAAACACCCAGGCAGCCCGGGACCCCACCTGAGGCTCAAACTCAGGGGCACAGTGCTGCCCTGGAAGGACACCTGCCTCCCTTTGGAGTCTCCAGCCCCCGACCCCACCCTTCTCTCTCCGCCCTCCCCACCAGCATGGGTATCAAGGGACACATTCTATCCTGGAGGCTGGCCCGATAAGGATTCAGTGAGGCGCATCCGACCTTCAGCCCCAGACCAGACCTGGGATCAAGGGCCCATGTCATCCACCCCCTGACCTGGTAAGCACCCCCCGCAACAGTGAGACCCGGTGTGAGGCTGGAGATAGAATGGTGGCCCCACCCCGTTGCTGCTCACACACCATCCGTGCCTCCCTGTGGCCTTCAAAACCATATCCTGACTTTTCGGCCTAGTGCACTGGCTCCTATCCTCCCAGCCTCAGCCCAGGGGGAGGGAGGAGAGAGATTGCAGGATTCATTCTCTGCCCAGAAGGCTTTCACAGCAGGGGTGAGGGGGTGCAGTCGTTGATCACAGAGGCCTCTCTGAGGAGGCAGCCTTTGGGCAGAGAGGCAGGACCCACAGCTGGAACCCGGCA